GTACAGATAGGGCCGGACCCTGCGCAGAGCACACCCGTGGGCCCGCGCCCGGCCGGCAGCCCCGAAGGTCCCGTCTTTCCGAGCCCTTCCTGGTCTTGGCGGCACAGCCCCGTGCCCGGGTTTGAGAGCAGAGCTCGTGGTCAGAGCCACTGGTGGACAGACAATTTATATTGGCTGCCAGGCCCTGGGCAGCAGGATGAAAATCACAGAACTTCAGGGGTTGGGTGGGCCCAGCCCGAGAAGGGCAAGCAGGAGCCAGCATTCCTGGGGGGCTGCCAGCTGCCTCACTCTGGGCCTGTGTGGTTCTCTTAGCTTGTTAGCCAGTATCTAAACATTCCGGCCGGAGCTGGGTGAGCTTCTGGCAGCCCAGGTTCACGCCCAGAACGTGCAGGACGCTAGCGCCTGCCTAGGGATGCAGTTCCACGGGGGCGTCACCGAAACCTCACAGCACGCGTCAGGGTCCACAGAGGGGTGCAAAGGAGGAAAAAACTCGAACAGAGGATGGCCTTGAAGGCCGGGCCAGGGGTACGACCCCACCGAGTTCCGGTTCAGCTCGGCCCGGTTCACAGACCGGAGCCCTCCTAACATGCTAGGCCCGTGCTGGGCCACAGGGATACGGCAGCGGGCAGGACCTGTCACCCCAGCCTGCGTGCACGACTTGGAATTCCAAACCCTGAGTCTTCTGAGCTCGAGGGGCCCTGAGAAATCAGAGTCCCTGTGTGATTCACATGGAGGGAAACAGAGGCTGGAAACTGGGAGGCCTCGCTCCTCTGTGCCCCTTGGCCGGAAAAATCAAGTCTCTGTTCAGACAGAGTCTGTGCCCCCCATGCCCTTGCCCACACAAACCTGTGGGGTTTGTTCTTCCTGTGCTGGCTTTCAAATGCTCCCTCCTGTCCCACGGAGGCCATGCTGGGGCCACAGAGGCCCAGGGCCAGCACCGTCTGCGGTCTGGGCCTTGGTTTCCCTGCCCTGTACTCAATGCCAGCCCCCACTGTCTTGGCCATCTTGGTGTCTATGAGAAGGCATAGTGTCTCTCTTTAGGTGGAATGGTTCTAGACTTTTCCAGAGGGTTCTGGGGCCACTTCTGGTCCCTGATATCTATTGGCTCAACAGATACGTGGCAAATACCTCTTAAACACCCTTCAGAGAGGGGTCTTGAGTAGGTCCACAGGGGTAGGGGTGTCTCCGACCACGCTGGGACATGGCTCCCAGCCCCACTGGATATTGCACGATCCCTTCATGTCCCTGTGTGTGTGTGTTTCCTGATGTTCCCGAGGGCCGGGCGTGTGGACTAAGTGGTTACAGGACAGCAGTTCAGCCCTCCCTGTTGAGGTTGGGGGCCGGGGCCAGGGGTGGCCGTGAGGGACCTGCCCGAAGTCACTTGACAAGACTGCAGGGAACCCAGGGGCCTGAGTGGCTGGCTTCCCATGTCCTGCCCCGTCAGTCTCTGGTTCACCCAGGGGGCTCCTTGCCATCCTTGGAGCTGCAGGAGGCTGAGTTCCTCTCGGCTGTAAACACCTGTAGAAGGCGGGGCCTCTGCACGGGGTCGAGTCCCCTAGAGCTCCCAAGCCGGGTTGCCGTGCCCTGCATGCCCGTGGCCGTGCTCGCCTGCTTCCTGTTCACAGCTTGCTCTTTCTCTACCTATCACCCTGCACTCTCCTTGGGCTGCTGCTCTGTGCCCAGACTGCTGAGGGCAGGAGGACCAGGGGAGGGAGGGAGTGAGGGGCGGGGCCGGAGGAAGGAGCAAGCCAGTTAGACGGGTGTGGGGACCTCCTCGGTGCTGTAGTCGCCCCTTTGACAACCCTAGCGAGCCGTGCTGCTCACCTACATCCTCACCCGTATCTGCCCGTGCCCAGGGAGGCTGCCGCCACCGCAGACCCCGTGTTAGAGGCAGGGAGACTGAGCTCAGGGGGCTTAGGCGCCGGTTGGAGACCACACGGCTGGTACAGTGGTACAGAATGGAGCGCCGGGGTCTCTGGTTCTGATCACCTCGTCCGGCCATCCCTGCTGGGCGGAGATCCCAAAAAGACCAGGTCTCTGCTTTTGCGTCCTTGCGAAGTGTAGTGAGTGTGGAGAGACCACAGCAAGCTCTGGGCGCTGCTTTCCGGGGTCTGCAAAAGGAGGGCAGCCAAGCCGGGAGGGACATGGCAGCGCAGGCCGCTCAGCCTTGTGGCGGTCAGCTGGGAGGGACTTGACGAGGTCACACGGGTGGCTGCTCCTGGAAGGCCTCCCTTCAGGATGCTCCGTAGGACCCCGAAGCAGGTGCGGCCGCACATACCCACCCTGAGCCAGGCTTGCCTGAAGAGGGGCCCGCACACAGGAGGGGAAAGGCAGATTTGGGGTGTGGTCTGTTTTCTTAACTCTGCTTCTATCTCGCTCCCTGCCCCGCCCCGGCTTCCATCCATCTCTGCCTGCTCCTGTCTCTCCCTGGGTTTCTGGTGGTGGAAAAGCTCAAGTCTTTGCGAAGCTAATGACCTGCCTCTGTGCGAAGCTTACTGGAGGCTGGACCTCGACACAGACTCTGCTGATGGCCTCTCAGCCCCTGTGCTGGCGTCCCCGGAGCCCAGCGCTGGCCCCCTGCAGGCTGCAGCCCCTACCCACTCCCATGCCACTGGCCCCGGCCCCACAGAGCACGCCTGAGCCTCCCAGGGTTCCCCTCCCCGCAACCCTAGGTTCTTAAGTCTGGTGTGGCCTCCTTGGGACCTTTAGCCCAGGGACAGCACCCCCCAGAGTGTTGGGGAAGATACTGCCCTCAACCGTTTCCAAGGTAGCCCGTCCCTCGGAGATGCCACCTCTGTTCACTGCCCACCTGGCCTGCTGGGCAGACATTTCCTAGACAGTGTGTCCAGGCCAATAGTGGGGCTGGAGGACGTCCTGCTATGTACAAGCCACAGGGTGGCACTCAGTGGACAGTACTGGCCAAGTCCACGCTCCACCCTCCGGTCTCCTGTGCAGAGACGCACCTGCTGCTTTGTCCTGAGGGCCCCTGGTAGCTGACCGTCCCCGCAGGGTTGTGGTGGGGAGGGGGGGGGTCCTGAGAGCAAGGGACCTTCCTCACTCTGCCACACACATTCCGGTGGGTTTTGTAACAAGACCGTTGAATAAAAACAGCACTGCCATCTTGCGTTGGTTGGCTCCTTCTTGGTGGTCCGGGACCAGTCTGGGATCACCCCCGGTTTCCCACTGGCTGTGGGGAGAACAGCTGCTGGGCTCTGCCTGGACAGCCTGGGGCTCCAGGTAAGCCTTCCACCCGTAGGGGCTTTGGGCAAGCAGGGACTTGGTCAGTTTGGGGCTAATGGCTGCATTCCTGTTGCCCAGAACTGCCTGGGAGCTGGAAAGTCCTTAATGCTTGGCGACTAAAGAAAAACTGGCATCGTTGCACGTGACGAGGTCCAGCTGCCTGTCCTTCGGTCCCATCTAGTCCTCACTGGACCTGGCAGTGGTGTGGCAGTTACCTGCACTACAGGGAGGAACGGCCACGGGCTTGGAAGGGGTTGAAGCGTTGTGTCCACCGCCACCGAGCCGGGAAGGGAAGCAGCAGAAATTGGGGCTCAACCCAGACGGAATGCTAGGCCCGGTGCCTGGGTGCCAGGCCCCCCCAGAGAAAGGGGGTTTCGAGCCCACGCCCTGTCGCCAGCGTGCCTCCTCACGAGGGAGACAGCAGTTGGTCTACGGAGGAGGTGGCAGCACACAGTCCAGTCTCAGGGACAGGGAAGGACACAAGCCCGATGGTGTTGGGGCCCAGAGACCCCCACGGCCAAGCAGGGGTGGCACACAGGTGGGAGCTGGGGCCCAGTCCTGGCTCTGGCCCTGGTTTTCTGGGGGTGGCCTGGGGAAGGCTCCGCATAGAGGAGACAGGTGATGATCTCTTCCCGAAATACCCTCGTTGCAGAAATGACTTGTATTTGACACTGACGGAGAAAAAAGGACTGCAACCAATGAAGCACGTGTGGGGAAAAGGCTGGACGGAGCGGACCAAACTTAACGGGGGTTTCGACTGTCTTCAGTGTCATAACACCTGAGCAACAGGCTCTCTGCACTATCAGTGTCTTGTTCTCCTGGGCTGAGGCCACCGTCCCCATTGGAAACGGAAAGCGAAGTGGTTTCTCCCCCCCCCGGAGCAAGGCAGCTCCCCTCCCCACCACCTCCTCCTCCTCTCTAGCCCACACCCCCGGCAGCAGACCTCACTGGAGAAACGGGCACTTTGTTTCCAGGTCTCTCTCAAGTCTGCTTCAGGCCGGCTTCGTCTCCACGACCCCGGCTGAGCTACGGGTATTAAGGTCCCCTGTGGCCTCCGTGTCACTCAAGCCTGGTCAGTCCTCAGTCCTTCCTGCCTGTGTCCCAGGCATTTTATTCCAAGAATATTCGAACCCCTGGCAAAGTTATAAAGGTCGCATAAAGAACACCCACCTGGGTGCTTTTCTGGATTCACTTCCTGCACCTCTGCTTGCTCTCTCATCCATAAAAACCACGTGAACATCAGCCGCAGACCTCACGCCACCTCACCCCTAGATGCCTGTCAGCTCGTCTCTCTAGGAAAAGCAACTCTCCATGGCCCAATGCCAGCATCAGGCCCATGTGAACAATTATCCCATAATATCATCTAATATCATGACACGTTTTTTTTTTTTCTTTTTTTAATGTTTATTCTGAGAGAGTGAGGGAGGGGAAGAGAGAAGAGAGAGAAAATCCCAAGCAGGCTCTGTGCTGTCAGCGTAGAGCCTGACATGGGGCTCAGTCTCAAGAACTGAGATCATGACCTCAGCCAAAACGGAGTCGGACGCTTAACCTGACTGAGCCACCCAGATGTGCCTCATGACACATTCTAACTTCCCCACTTCTCTAAATGTTTACTTTTGAGTGTTTATTTCTGAAAGAGCAAGGGGGAGGGTTAGACAAGAGGATCCAAAATGGGCTCTGCGCTCGAACTCACAAACCGCAAGATCGTGATCTGAGCTGAAGTCGGCCGCTTCACCGACTGAGCCACACAGGAGTCCCTCCAAACGTCTTTTTACGTGTATTTTCGTTTTGCGTTGCAGTTAGTTACTATTTCTTACAGCCTTTTGAAATCTAGAGCAGGATCAGGGTGGCAGTCTGGAACAAGTCAAACACAGTTCCGGATATACTTTGAAGGGAGAGCCAACAGAATTCACTCAAGGACCAGATGTAGGGAATGAGGAGGCAGGGTGGCTTCAAGGTCTGACTTCTGTGCCTGGAAGCATGGTGTGGCCTTAACTGAAGCAGAAGGCAGGCAGTGAGGGGAGGTGGGGCGGGGGAGGCCAGGACCCCTGTTCTGTACATACCCACGACGATGTGTCTCATGTCCAAATGTGGGCCTGGAGTTCAGGGGAGTTGGCAGCACCGAGTCACGAGCTCTGAAGGGAGTCACTGCACAGTAAGAGTTAACAGAAAAGGGAAATGAGACCCAAGGAGGAGAGTAGGTGTTCAGGGAGGAGGTAGGATCCGCTGGTCAAACCCTCCAGAAAACTCACAGATGAATAAGGCCCATGAGTCAAGATTCGCACTCAGAACTCAACTCTTCTCCTGGCCCTTTGGCAACGCTGCTGCCATCAACCACCTCCCGCCCAGACAGGACCTCAGCAAAGCCTCAAAGACCCCCCCCCCGGAGATGGTCACACGGGACGGAGAACCCCAGACTGGTCGTGTGGACTGGAAGAGGACACATCATCCCCTCCCCTCCCACATCCCTGTTCCTCTGCGCCTCTGGCTTTGATGGTGAAAACGGACGGTGCCAGGAAGGACACGTTTATGGCTCAGTGAGTGTCCTGGAAATCTACCGTGGGGGACAACGAAGCCATCCTCTCCTCAAAACGTCACCTCACAGCAGAGATCCCGGACAGAAAGTTACATTCTTACTGCTTCGTCAGAAACCTTTTCAAATAGCTTTTGAAATTGTAGTTTATAAATCCAAGCCCCTGCCCCCTCCCTCCCTTGAGGAATAAGGCCTCCCCTACTCACCCCAAGGCAGCCCTTGAAGGGCTGGGTGTTGTGACAAAGCCTGTCACTGCCATGAATTGCGGAACAGGGGTGCGGTGGTCTCCAACCTCAGACTGAACACTCCCCTCCCTTCCCTCGTGAGTTAAGGGATAAGCCTTGTCCTAAATCTTAGCCTGTGGCTGCACTGCCCAGAGCAAAGACCCCAGTGGGTCTTCCTCCAGCGCCCCAGCATCCTCCCTCCCGACACCGCACATCCCTTCCTCCCGGACCTTTCTCCTAGGCACTCCCCGTTACCCGACTCATCCTGCGCTTGCCTTACGTGTTGCCGGTGGCCGCACACACGCAGACCCGCCGAGGACGCCGCTGCGTGTCTTCTCAGCGCTGGCATCTCCCGCCCTTGCAGCCCGCCCGGCACCTGCTGGGCGCGCGGTGCTTTCGGAGCGGACCCGCTCTCGCCGGGTCCCGCTTCGGATCTGGGTCCCCAGAGGGCTGAACCACGGCCGATCGGTCCCGTCGTCCTCGGGTACTGAGCGCCCACTGTGTACGCGGCACCGGGCCGGGGGGGTGGGGCGCGGCGGCCGGAAAGTCACAGCACCGTCGCCATCCCCGCCCAAGGGAAGAGGCCGGAGGCCACGGAAGCCCAGGACCCACAATGCTTTGCGCCCCGCCCCGCGCGTCTCTTTCGGCGGAGCCAGGCCTGGCTAGTCGAGCACCGCGCGCTGGCGGCTCGGCGCTCGGCTGGCGGCGCCTGCGCACGCGCGGCTTCCGGCGAGGGCGGTCCGGCGGCGTGGTGAGGGTGGCGTGGCGAGGGGGTCGTGTGTGTGTCTCCTAGGAGAGTCCCAGAACCCGCGACCATGGCCTCTCTGCTCGCCAAGGACGCCTACCTGCAGGGCCTGGCCAGGAAAATCTGCTCCCAGCCCAGCCCGGAGCCGCAGAAACGCAAGTCCGGTACAGCGCAGCCGGGGTCGGGCCTGGCAGGGCTGGGGGTGGGGTACGCCCCTGCGCCGCCCCGCGCAGCCTGAGGGTGGGTGAGACACGTGGGTGCGTGAAGCAAGCCCGTAAGATGCTGGAAAGACTCTTAAGGGTTATGTACAGTAGTCACTGTTTCCCTGCTTGTGGGCATCAGCTCGGGGGTGCCAGGGAACCCACCGGGCCGGAGGCCCCTGCGGGGCTTGCAGGAGGTGACCCGATGGGATGGGGGAGGTAGGGAGAGGGCGGGAACGGGACGGCTCCTACCAGTGGGGTTTACCGGGAAGTCCGTACACAAGCAGGTGAGACGGAGGTTGGCACTTGTGAGTGCTGCTTGGACCCGAAGGGGCAGAGAGCATCAGCGTCTGACAGGCAGCTAGACGGAGAACGGCCTTTTGTCTTTATGCCAGGCAAACTTACTCATTACCGGAAGTTAGGAAAATTGAGGTTTCTTAGCACTGGGTGGTAACTTGATACGTCAAAAGATTAGTTTTCCTTCTGTGAGTGTGTCTCAGCGTTTTAAAAAGTCTCGTTTCGTACTCAATGTACTCTTTTTGTTAGCTTAAGTGTAAATATCTTTTGATCCCTTAAAAAAACAAAAGCCTGTGTTCTCGTTTTTGACGGCTAGGTAGTGCTTTGTAACGTGATAGGTGGCTTAACTTGTGCTTGTAGGGGAGTATTCAGGTTTTTCTAGTTTTTCCCTGCGATGAACATTTTTGAGGTCAGCAGTGTGGATGTATTGGATGTATTGCAGGGTTTTACCACCTGTGGCCAGTCTCCTTTCTGGGTTTGTGGATGGCTCTGAGCTTTACAAAAGGACAGGGGTCTCTGCATGCTCCGTCCTGATTCGCCTACAGTATCCTGGGATCAAAGGCTTTGCAAAACTTTCATGCAGGTTGGATGGGTCACAAAGGTTAGGACTGCAGCCTTTTATGATTTTGTATTTCAGCCAGCAAAACTCGAGGCTCAGAAGCTTCTGGGCCCCCAAAAAAGAAGAGAAAGAAAGCGCAGAAGAAATCTTGGGAGAGGGAGGCGAAGGCTGTGGAGCCAAAAGCCCAACCCCTAGGGGAGAAGTCTCCAGCAGCTTCCAAGGCCAGAAACCCAGCAGCAGCCACGGAGGAAGAGGCCTTCACCTCCACAGGATCTCCTGCAGGTGGAGATGTGGGCAGGGCTGACTGAGATCCCTTGAAAACGTGGCCTTCAGTGGACATGAGAAAATATGGCGTCATGCACATTTTTGGGGTGTTTTGAGACTTTCTAGAGAGCAGGTTTTCAAGGGACAGATCCCAGGGAATACATAGTGGTTCTAGGCCATTTGGCATTGGGGTCTGGTGAGGGGCAGGGTCATGTTCCCCTGAGGACCTTGCCCCGAGGAGGCTCTCACTGCCTGCAGGTGTCCAGAGTGGCATCACGAGAGCTGACCTGTTGGGAGAGGTGGGGAAGCCCCGCCTGCAGAAATTGGAAGAAATGAGAGATGGGTTTGTCTGGACCCATCAGAAGCATTTTGTCTTATCGCACGGGGGTGTTCTGTTCTGGGGGCCAGCCCAGCTTGGGGAGTGGAGAGTAGTATTTACTAGAACTGCCCTGCAGGTCGACGAGTGGCCACTTGGGGAGTAGGACAGTGTGTGGGGTTTCAGGCTTTGAAGCTGGACCTTGGGAAAAGGGACGGGAAGGTCAGGCAGGGGGTTTTCTCTTAGCTCCCCACTTCTTTCCTCACAGACGTCGAGCTCGCAGAGTCCGAGTCTTTGTTTGCCCTGGATGTTCTGCGGCAGCGGCTACGTGAGAAAATACAGGAGGCCCAGGGCCAGGTAAGTTGGGGAGGCTGCTAGGGTGTAGGAAGCAGTGTGGTTTTCTGCAGTGGTTTTCCTGCTCTGCGTGGAGGAGAAGGTACCTTGGTGCCCTTTGTGGGCTTGGTCCTCAGTTCTGCCAGCCACTGTGGGCAGCCGCTGTTCCCACCCCTGCAGCAGGTCTTGCCAGGGCCACGGCAGTTTTGGTTGGCAGGGGATCAGGTGTAGTTTCCAGCATCTTGGGGAGACTCAGTTCCCACGGTAACCTGCTTTGTATAGTCTGTGCTGTGGGTTCCCTGTGTCCTTGGAGAGAGGCTCAGTCTGTCGAAGGAAGCTGCCTTTGTTGGACACGACACCGGGCAGCGCTTTGTCCTCTTCACGTCCCGATAGCTCTATGAGGTGGTGAGGGTCTGCGATGAGGTGACTGCTACAGGAAGCACCAGACCTAACCCTCCTGGGTTTTTTGTGCTGAGTGACATAATCTTTTCACTTAGCCACCACCTGCCCTTTCCCTGGGGACGTACCCTGGGCCTGTTGCTGTATGGGACAGTCCCCCAGCTTCTTTGTGCAGTGCCCTGGGACAAGCCTGGGGATCGTTCCTAAGGGGCAGCCTGAGCTCTGGCCTGGCCTGGCCTGGCCTTCCTGCATGCAGGTCTGGGTCAGTCTGGTAGTGTTCTCTTTTTGGCCTCCAGACGGAAAAGGCCATCTGTGAGAGCAGAGGTTAGGTGAGTCACCGGCAGAACAGCGCCATAGTCAGCATGGGCATTGGGCGTCCTGATCTGATGCCGAGTTCCAGATGGTGTCCTTGGCTAGGCCTGTCCTCATCTGCAAAACGATGGAGGACACGTCTATGTCGAATTATTCGTAAAGGGCCCTGGTGCAACGTCCGTGTCTGGGAACTGGAAGCCGTGGTTCTTACCTGGGGGTCCTCGTGTCCTTTTTGGGGTCCCTTGGATTCCGGGGGACAGGTCGTCTCCCGGGGGAACACTGAGCTCAGTGAGCACCTTGTCTTGCACAAGTGTTTCCTCACCCGCTTTCCTGCCCTGATTCCACATCCCAGACCGGGGGCCCCGAAATTGGGAGGCCCTCGTGAGGGAGCCCTGACTCTCCTCCTCCTCCTCCTCCTCCTCCTCCTCCTCCTCCTCCTCCTCCTCCAGGGCAGCACCTCGGAGCCGTCTCCCGCGGCTCTGGAGAAAAGACGCCGGAGGAAGCAGGAGCGGGACCGCAAGAAGAGGAAGCGGAAGGAACTGAGGGCGAAGGAGAAGGTGGCAAAGGCCACGGAGGCTGTCGAGCCGCCCCGCGAGGCGCCCCGCGAGCCACCCCGAGAGGAGGCACAGCTGGGGCTGCTCTTCAATAAGGTGAGAGGCAGGTGCGGCCGTGCAGGCGCGGGGACCCGGGCTGTGCCCCCCACCCCCCCCCGGCTGGCCACGTGGCCCGTGTCCCGAGGCCGCCCATTCGCGGAGGCGGGTGGTGGCAGTGCCTGCCCCTGGGGGCGCTCACGGGGGCTCACGGGAGAGGCGCGCCTTGAAGCTGGAGTTCACTGGGGTTGCCGCCCGCAAGGTGGAGGTGAGCGCGGGGGAGCCGGCCGGCAAGGCCCAGCGCCGGAAGGAGAAGAGGCAGAAGCTGAAGGGGAAGCTGACGCCGCTGACGGGGAAGAACTACCGGCAGCTGCTGGAGCGCCTGCAGGCACGGCAGGGTCGGCTGGCCGAGCTGCGGGACCAGGACGAGGGGAAGGCGCGGGAGCTGGAGACCAAGATGCAGTGGACCAACCTGCTGTACAAGGCCGAGGGCGTGCGGATCCGGGACGACGAGCGCCTGCTGCAGGAGGCCCTGAAGCGCAAGGAGAAGCGGCGGGCGCAGCGGAAGCGCAGGTGGGAGAAACGCACGGCCCACGTGGTCGAGAAAATGCAGCAGCGGCAGGACAAGCGGCGACAGAATCTGCGCAAGAAGAAGGCGGCCCGGGCCGAGCGGCGTCTGGACAGGGCTCGCAGGAAGGGCCGCATCCTGCCCCAGGACCTGGAGCGGGCTGGCCTGGCGTGAGGACCCGGGCCGCGTCCCTGACCGGGGGCTGGGGTGGCGCCGGGCGGGGCTCGGTCGGCGCTGTCTGGGCCCCTGGGCACGCGGGCTCCGTGGGCTCAGCTCGCGTGTGGAAGGGACGGTGTCCGGAATGGAGGTCCACGTCTTTTGGACCCCGGTAAGGAGTGACCGGGTCCCGGTTCCCGCCTTCTCTTGGGAGGCCAGACAGCTCCCTGGAAGTGTGCGGGGTGGGTGGGGGTGCAGGGGGGCACCTCCCTGGCCCCTTCTTCTCCTCCCAGTTTACGCGAGCAGGGCGGGAATGGCCTTTGGGACTGCCCGTGTCTGTGCGCGGAACTCGCCTGGAAGGGAGGGATCTCTGTAGATCGAGCCAGAGGTGGAGTCTCCGTGGGGGGCGAGCTGACCTGGGTGTGGCCGGAAGGGAGTTATCTGGGGTTTATCTGTAGGGGGAACAAAAGGTAGCGCTTAGGTGAACGCACGTTCAAAGTCTCAGGGTGCCTGCTAGATCTGCACGGTGTGTACTAGGCTGGAAAGAAAGGGGGAGACCGAGGAAAGACCGAAGCCCAGACTCAGCGACGGAAACGAAAGACTCCACGCGGACCTGCAGGGGGGGGGGCAGAAGGGGCGCAGACGTGCGAAACCCCGGGGCGGGGGGGGGGGGGGGCCCACGGCACATAAATTCTGTTGGGTTAAAGCCGTGAATAGAATCGTTTTGACTCGGGTTCACTTAAGAAACAGACCGCAGAAGGCCACCTGGGTAGCTAATGACTGAGCTAAGCGACCAACTCCTGATTTCGGCTCAGGTGGTGTCTCCCGGTTCATGAGTTCTAGCCCCAAGGGAGGCTCCACGCTGGCAGTGCGGAGCCCTCCTTGGATTTTGTCTCTCTTTCCTCCCCTGCTCGTGCTGTCTGTGTCTGTCTGTCTGTCTCTGTCTCACAGTAAGTAAACTTAAAACGTACCCAGCGGACTGTAACGGAAAGGCTGGCGTGGCCGAAGCGGACAAAGCTGACTTGACAACGAACGGCACCGTGAGGAGTAAAGAACGCCCGCCCCCGCCCCCCGGTGGAGGGGTTCTGTGCTCCCAGCAGGCAGAGCGGCTCTGACGACCCCGGGACCGGAGCCTTGCGTCTGCCCAGAGCGGGAGATTTCTGATTCCTTTCCTAGGCCTGGAGACACCAGGCAGAAGTCTGGTGGACGTAGAAGGTCCGGAGGAGAGTCACGAGCTCGATTTGGCAACACAGAACGGCGCGTCTGGAAACACACGCTTTGCGCGTCTCTGAAGCAGCAATGAGAACTGAGCATCTGGTCTATGAAGGACGTTTTCGTTTCAAGGAGTCAGACCAGGTGTGGTGTCCGGCCACGGCAGGGTTTCGTCGTCAAGGTCAAGAGGTGGTCAGAGTTTCACGTTTGGAATTTTACAACATTTATTTATTTTTGGGACAGAGAGAGACAGAGCATGAACGGGGGAGGGGCAGAGAGAGAGGGAGACACAGAATCGGAAACAGGCTCCAGGCTCCGAGCCGTCAGCCCAGAGCCCGACGCGGGGCTCGAACTCACGGACCGCGAGATCGTGACCTGGCCGAAGTCGGGCGCTTAACCGACTGCGCCACCCAGGCGCCCCTCGTTTGGAATTTTAAAAACACACTCTCGAGTTTACCTGTGGGTGGTTGTGGGAGGCGGAGCCTGACTCCCAGGTGTCCGTGCTGAGCGCGTGTCCTGCGGCAGGCGGCAGCAGGAGCAACTCCTCCAGGGACAATAGTGGGCAGTGGGATGTGGCCAAGGGAAACTCCCAGGACGAGTCTGGGAGGCCCGATAGACCCCTGTTGGGTGTCGTCGCCTCCAGTGTGGGAAGACAGTGCAGCGTGGTGGGAGAAATCTTCAAGGGCCTAATGTCAGAACGTTTCCAGAGCCACATGGTGGAAGCTCCCCCTCCCGGGGTGGAGGGGATTGGATGAAGGTTGTCCCAAGCAGAACACCTGCCCGGAACAGTGGTTCCAACTGTCCCGAAGGCCGTGGCGGTGGGAAAAGGAATAAAGGGAGAAAGCTCACTGAAATGGAGTCGGGAGGCCGGAGAGAGGAGCACTCGTGCACTGTGCCGACTTGCGTCCATCGTGGGAGGAAGCGTCACCGACCCAGCAGAAGCGTCCTCGACAGGAAAGCGTCGTGATCACAGGCTCAACAGGGAAGGACGCCGTACCTCCTGTGAGACACCCAGCGACCCGGCCAGCAAGGAATGGCCCTCGCCCTGCGCTGTGAGTCTCTGGGTCAGGACAGCCCTTCCCAGCGTCCTCCTCGTAAAATAATCCCCTCTTTGTTGGATTTGCCTGTGGTTTTGCCCTAGTTTGCACGTCCCGGGTTGCAGTTCTCTGCTATCCTAAATAAACACGTTTTGCTGGTAAGGTAACTGGTAATTGTATTATTATTATTTTTAATGTTTGTTTTTGAGACAGACTGTGTGAGCAGGGGAGGGGCAGAGAGAGAGGGAGACACAGAATCCAAAGCAGGCTCCAGGCTCTGAGTTGTCAGCACACAGCCTGGCGCTGGGCTCAAACCCACGAACCCTGGGATCGTGACCTGAACCGAAGTGGCTGCCTAACGGACTGAGCCACCCAGGTGCCCCTGGTGGTTTTATTTTTAAGCTCAGCACTAGTCTCCTTTCGCCACTGGCCCTTTGGGTGAGTCTGGGAAGGAGCACATCCTGCCTTCCCTCCTGTCCAGGGGCCCTAGGACTTGAGCTGATGGACACTGAGGAATTCAGTGAGTGGCTGGGACCAATCAGGCAGCTCAAGTGAGGTTTCTGTTCATCAGATCTGGTGGGGGTGGGGCGTGCAGAGAAGAGCTGTCTCTAGACCCTGGTGGGTCAGCTCATCCAGTTCACTGCACCAGTCACGGGAGCCTTGCGTACATGGCCTGTGGGAAGAAAAGTGCTGTGTGTTCCCTGCGGTCGGGTCCTGACACCTGCGTCGGCCCTGAGCTCAGTTCTGGTTTCATCCCAGCACTCCAGCTTCGGAGAAGAGCTGCCGTGTGCTGCTTCTCCAAGATGCCTGAACGCGCACGTGGCAAAGGTGTGCCCCTTGGATCCTTCCCAGACAACCTGTTGGGCAGATGAGCAGGTAACAGGGTCAGTAAGGCCCTTCCAGCAAGCCTACGTCTCCACTGGGGCGTCTGACCTTCCTCTTATTCCAGGGAGTTTCCAGAAGCCTCGCTTACCTTAGTGTGCACTTCAGGGGACTCCAGGTTTTGGCTGAGCAACAGAGGAAGTCACCGAATCCTTCCTAGTTCCCTAGCTAGCCTGTGGACTCTTGATGCCAAATGGAAGCCAATCTGAGATTACGTCCCGGGGAGTTGTTTCTAGAGAGCACGTTGTGAGTCCTGCGGGGTGAATGAGGCAGTTGCCGAAACGTCAGCAACGTTCTGGTCTCCAGGCTCTGGAACGTGATAGCTTGAGTTTGGAGCCTTGATCCCCCAGAGGAGAGATACAGAATCGGCTGGAACTTCCTGGCACTCCCCAGAGCCGCACGCACTCCTGGGCGTTTTCACAGAACCGCTCATACTTTGAACTCTTCAATGACTATATCTGATGAAATACAAAAGAACAGCTACGTGCAGTTCGCTGCTGCTGCTGCTGTTTCACTGGCCGAGGCAGCCCGGCATGGCTGCTCAGTCCAAGTGTCTGGGAAGGTTTTCTTCGGTGCACGGCTACGGCAGCCCTCCTTCCTGGCCGGGCACTGCCCACATGTTCCGAGACGTTCCCCTGGATTTTCTCCAATACCAAACGGCAAACGTTTCTGTCCATTTAGTGAATTGAACCTTCCTACTTTGGCCTCGTAACTGGGTGCTCGGAGCCTGTTGGGGTCCGACTCTGCTTGTAGGTCTAGATACCAGGCGGCGAGGTGGCCTTGGGGATGAGGACGCTGGCTCCTTGCAGTTTTGCTGTGAAGTTGAAACCGCTCTTGACGGTAAAGGTTATCAGTTGAGAAAACGGGCCGACCAGACATTGGGTCCGAAAGCTTTTGTCTGGAAGTGCCACGTGTTCTCACACTCCACTGGTCACATCACGTGGCTGCACATAACTTCCACTGGGGACAGAAACGCAGCCCACCTGGTGCCCGGGGGAAGAGCCAGGAAGTTTTGTTTTTTGGGTTGTTAAAAATTTTTTTAATATGTATTTTTGAGAGAGAGGGAGCACGAGCCGGGGAGGGGCAGAGAGAGGGGGAGACACAGAAGCCGAAGCGGGCTCCAGGCTCTGAGCTGTCCGCACAGAGCCCGACGTGGGGCTCAAACCCACCAACCGTGAGATCATGACCAGAGCCGGAGTCGGAAGCTTAACCGACTGAGCCACCCGGGCGCCCCAGGAAGATCCCTGTTCTTAAATGTGTTTCAAAATGGGAATTAGCGTGAGGTCTGTAATAATATCACACGATACAAGAAAGCAAAGAAAAAAA